AAACACTGACAGTGGGTATGAAGGGTGGGAAGTGTGAAAGGAGGTAAGTGTACCTATTGAAAATACATTTTCAGTGTAAGAAAATGTTAACTTCCGAAGTGGTCGTACCTCCACTCAGTCGCACAAAGCTAGAATAACACATTGCAAAGGTGGAGGCAGTACAGATGTACAAATACCAAAACAAGTGGAAAGTGATGGCCCAGAATGAATGAGTGTGCTATGAGATGAAAATGAAGCACAGTTGTGGGGTACCACAACTACTTCTGGAACAGGTATGCTCTTTGCCCAGCAAATAGGAAAGTAACACAAAATGGGTAGAATTGAAAATACTGGCACAATTGAATGTGATACTAATTCATACAGCACTGGAAAACTGATAGTACTGCTGTATGTTCTGAAGAACATATATGTTTCATCTGTCACAGGGTTGTGCCTGATATTGTACTTGTGTTAAAAACCTGGCCAGAAATGCTTGTAGTGAACCACAGATGTGGATGCTGGATAGGTGCAAGCTGTAGCAAGATATAACAAAATGAGCTAGGTACCTACCCAACCTCAATCTGACAGACAATGATCCATAGCTTGTCCTCAGCTTTAGTAGGTTGGGAAAGAGAAAAAAAAACAAAAATAACAAGGTCAGGAAATGGGTGGGTAAGACAAACCATCTAAACAGGCAGCATAGGTCCTAGTAAGGAAGGACTGGTTGGGATAGAGGATGACATAGGAGGAATGGTAAAGGACAAGGGTAACATTAAAAACATAAATATCTGAATGAAGACAACCACAAGCAAGTAGGAGAAAGAAGTAGGTTCCAAAGGAGAGAAGGTAGATGGAAGAGGAAGACAAAGGTCTAAATGGAGGACAAGAAAGGCCATACAGGACAACACTGAGAACCCACTAGAGCAATTCAAAGGAACAGAAAAGGAGAGAATGGACAGGGGAAGACAAAACCAGATGAAAAATGGAAAAACGGAAGGAGGTCAACAAGGCTGCCGACAGCTAGATACAGACGAGGTGGACAAGCTTCCGTCAAACAACCCAGGTGATGAATAGGGGGAGAGATGAGGAAAGGAAGGGTGGGAAGGAAATAATCCATGGCAGAGAAACTAAAGTTGGAAGGTATACTATCGTCCATGATAAATGGACATGAAAGAAAGTCTAAAGGATTGGGAAAGGAAATATGCAACACATAAGAGTCAGTCCCTGGACTGAGAAAATGGAACTGACAAAGGCCATACATGAAGACAGAGAGTGGTGACATCTGTGTAACAAGGGACCACTTCTTGATGAGAATCTTGTTGAGAGAAGATAATCTATTCATCACCAGTTTCAAGGAGCCAGGAAAAAGGCAAGCAAAGACCACAATGTGGTTATTGTGGGCCTAGAAATGAGATCTAGGAATTAGTACCCCTTGGCTCAGTGACCACTGTAGAGATGTCGGAATGTACCTTAACCACCATCTCCCAAAGGGGAGGAAGGAAATAGGACAAAGCTCAGCAAAATACCAAAGGCTCGAGAAACGTGATTTGGAGAGAAGACTCTATGATCAACCAAAGACCAGAAATTACCCGGGAGTTAAAGTAAGAACCCCAACCCTCTAAAAATGAATACGTGAACAGATGTAAATCTCAACAAGGTGGAGTAAGCAGCACACCCATCGTGGTACAGTCTCTGTCTAACCACCAAGCCAGGGATCCAAAGAGAAGTTCCACTAATCAAGAGGTGTCCAATGAAGGGAACTCATATGAGCCTGACCCATGGGAATGAGAACTTCCAAGCAAGCCCACATCCTCAAAGAGATTGAACGTCTCAAGCCATAAGAAAAGGTAAGGGATGTGTGAACTGCTCGCTCCCAATTCAAAGATGAAGAGGAGAAAGCATTGCCCAACTGAGGGATATTGAGAGGTGGTAAGAATGGACTTCCACCCTCTCATCAGGAATCCCACTCATTCTGCATCCTGTAGGAGCAGAGGAGTGTGGTCTCGGGAATGGGAGGAAACAAACATGAGCAGTTACCCCTAGAAGAAAGTCTCACTGTGTGAATGTCCAGCAAGAGTTTGTACTCCTGACAAAATAATTAAAGAGCCGAGGTTAGTCAGAAAGGTTGGGTCCTGAACTGGAAAACATGACTAGGAGTGATTAATAAATAATGATAAAGTGGGCACTGTGGTGAAGAACACTGAATTGTAGATTAAGAGGAGAAAAGGAGCCAAAGCTCAGCTCAGCCCTATGAATGGGAAAGAAACGAACACATCAGTGATGTAACAAAGCAAAAATTTCAGGTCCCACACTGACAAAAAATTAGTATGATATGCCACAGTTAACACTTACGAAAAAAATATTCAGATAGAACAATGAATTAGATATTACAAGTAGTAAAGACATGTAATGTATAAACCATTAAAAAGTACCCAGTTAACAAAGGCCTGATAAATATCAAATAGACAAACCATCAAACTTTATCTAGTCCACAAAGGTTGTAACAATAACAAACATGCTAACTAACTGAAATTACCTAGAAAACACAATAATAATCAATATGTAACTCACAATTCCACTAAATTAACCTAGACAACAAAAGACACTTAATTAAGTCCAACATTGACGAAAATGGGGATGAGAAGGCACGTAGTTAACAATGGGAAGACATTATTTACATTAATTGCAAATTCAAACTACAATCTCTTGTAAATCGGTAAGAAGAAATAAATGAAAAAAAAAACTTTTTCACACAAATGAATGCAAACACAGTGAAAGAAAACTAATGAAAAAAAATTGAAATGGCAAAGAAGCACGTTCATAAACGGTAGCAAATGTGGAAAAAAAAACATGTCGAAACAATGCTATGCCAATCAAGAAAGTGAGGACTAAGCAGGAATATCAGTAGGAGTTAGCTATAACAGTATAGATGGCACAATACTGTTGTTGGAAAGTAGTCACGTGATATGTACATGTTTTGAAATGGCATGAAACTGATGGTGTATAAAGACTGGTGCACTGATTGTAAAAACATTTTTAGCAATTGTTAGTGGGCAAACAATGATCAAGATAGCTTTGTGAGAGGAGGTAAGACTGTTTTGGAAATAAACTATATAAGTGAAAAGATAAAGATGTGAAATTATGCACATAAGAAAAATACAACTATTCTAGTGGATTTCTATGAAAAGTTGAAAGGTATGTACATATTTCCATTTGTTAGTTTTAAACATTTCATTGAACTGTATGTTGATGATAATAGATAGAGTTAGTGATACGGTAGAGAAAATGGAAAATAAAATATAAATATTTACCTTAAAAACTTTTGATATTCATTTATGAGGTTCTATAGATTATACAAATGAAATGTGAAAACTGTAAGATAAAAAGTAGTATTTTTATACTTCATATAAAAATCACCTTGCAGGTGAACTATTCAAAGTGCAAGGGCAAATACCTACATCAAATAATGAATTTTTATTCAAAAGAGTACAAAAAATCAAAATTAAATGTTTTATTTTTCTGAAACTACATACTTTTAGGAACATTATTGTGGAATTTTAAACAATTTCAACCACTAGTATTATTTTTGTAAAGAAATATGATGAGAACAGCCAAGTTTTATTAGGCTAAACAGTATTTGTATTTACAACAGAGATTCAGGTTAGAATTAATTAAAGTTGGTCTGATGGTTTGGGTAATAAATGTAAGGAAGTTTTAGTAACAATAAATAGAGTTCTAATGCCTCAATAGCACAACATTGTTGTAATGGTTATGAAACTTTTGATGGCAACAAAAACAGTTTAGACAATAGTGTTTAAGGTTTAGAAAACTGCAATCTCTGACAGTTATTATAGAAAGAGATGACATTATGCTCACAGTTAAATGAAAGGATTTCAAGTGCATGTAATCTCTCTAATGGTATACCTCACAGAGAAGCATTGAACCACACAAAGACCTATATACAGTTTGATTAATTTACTTTTACTAATCACAGACTAATAAACATTAATAAAGGTAGGAAAGTAAAAGTCAATTTCATATAAAAAGAATTTCAACCACATATTCAATCTATGTCATTTCATAAATTTATTACAGCTTACCAAAAGATACTAAAGAACCTTCAGGGGAGGTCAGAAGTTCTCTAAGTAAAGATTCTCCCCATGGATCATGAAGAGCCATGGTCAATACTCCACATAATCGGGCAGCTTCATCTACTAACTGACACAATGACTGGCTACATTCTTTAATGACTGTTTGCAAGCGTTCCTTCAGGACTGGATTCACATCAGCCCATTCTCTTGATAAGATAACCAAAGATGTCTCACTAAAGAAAAAAAAAAAGACATAAATGCTACCACTATTTTTGTTTTATTTTTTAGTCTGTCTGCAACATAATGCAAATTTATTTTTCTAAAATATACAAACTTTAAAAACACACACACTCATGCAAAATTAAACTAAGTTTTCAGACAAAAATTTAAAAGTAATGAATGGTTCATAGCTCACCATTATGATTCCTAGACTGCTTTCAGTATTCTTAATTGGTTTACTCATATACATTGATGCATTTAATTAAAAAAAAGTAATACACCTTTTCAACCACAATTATTTTCTGTTACAAAACAAAGATATTTTGTTAGGTTTCAACTACATTTGTTCCAGTCATCATTAGACATAATGAAAATAAATAAAAGAACAGTAACTGCAGCCTACAAACAATTTTTTGTATCACATTTTAATAATTTAATATTGGATTAGACTGTTTAACTTGTATAATTTCAGGGCATACCTTTTTTTTCATACAATCTGTAAACATGCAGTAACTTTCAACAATGCCTTATTAAATAGCTAAGCAGTTAAGGCAATAATGGAGTTGGGGAGAGTAAACAACAAAATGATATCTTATTGTTTGTTCAACTGATGTCTCTAGACCTTAATTAAAGTAGTTTAATTACTTTAAAAACAAACCTACAAATTTTAAGACTGATAATTAATACACAGAAGAGTTTCTAAAACTTTTCTAGCTGCTGTTATCTCATAATATGACTTGTAATTTGCAATGTTGTTTTTTCTAGAATGATTTATTTTAAATTATTAGAAATATTACCAATAAATCAAATTATTTAGATAATAATAGTTCTGTAATGATTTAATTTTTTAATACTACTGGGTAGATTGCATATGCACTTGTGTCACAAAATATAGCATGCCTTTTCAAGAAAATGCATTTGAGTTCTCAAACAAAACATTTGATGTGCATCTTGTTCTACAAAAAGTAAAAAAAGGCAAGCTTTCCTTCAAAGTGTTATATCGTGAAAGATAAAATACTATCACATCATCTACTTACATATATGCACATAAAATGACAAAGCTAAGCTTATGAAAATTTTTTAACCTGTAATTAGCAATTAACAATTTTGACATTTAAAAAATTATACCTGAACAAAAACTGAAAGACATTGGACACTTCATTCAGGCTAGAGGCACAAGCACCCAGTGATTTCCATATGACCACTAGTAAGGCTGCTTTTTCTTTAACTGGTTTATCTTTACAGTCTTGAAGTTTAGACAATGCCTGTAAAAAACAAAAGCCATACAGTTATATCTTAACTATACTTTTACCACAATTGCAAGTTAAAGATTTATTATTTTATACAACTGTGATTAGCCAGTTGTTCTGAACCTTTTTATGACACATACCTCCAGTCAGACCTTTCAGTCAAGATGAGTTCCTCACATACATAATTTGCCAAAAACATTTAAGTGGTTTAAATTAATAAAATGGTAAATCAAAAGAAATAATCCAAGGGTGAGTTAACAGTGCTAATGCCCTCAAAATTGCCTTCCAATTTTGAGGTGTGGGATTTATATTCCATTTAATTCCATTTGACATTACACTAGTGCTTTTGGGAACTAAATATTAAATTATAAATCTCTATCATTTCTTACAATCTTTTTTCATTCGAACCTTTGTCCAACAGTAATTAGAACAGCTAACATTAATAAACATTAATGATCAATCATATTTACTGTAGCATACATACATGCATAACAGGTTACAGAAGACATCATTCTTACACATAATTAGTTATCGACTCATAAATTGCTTTCTCATGACTAGGTCTAGAAGATATTTAAAAATTGGTATGATGATCTTGTGTGGATAGAAATTATAAGGATTGAAGAAGAAACTAGTATATTTTGAGAAAGCCAAAATATATCAATTCCAATTGTTAAAACAACCATATGCTAATATGGAAATGCATTACAAAGACACAAGAAATAAACTATTAGTCTTAAAATGGTATCACATTAAAAAAAAAAAGAAAAATAATTTGTATATATATATATGTGTATGTGTATTAAATGTATCCAAAATTTGAGTAAATCTCCGACCAAATTGCTTCAGAAAAAAAAAGGAATGGAGAGGAGAAAAAAAAAGCTTGCTCAGAAAAAATATAAAACTTGTGATGTGAGACTAAGTTTGCATGCAGTATATACAGAAATAAGAAAAGGATACAAGTCATCTATACACTTTGGAGATAATGTACATGTACTTTAGCACCATTAATAAAATTTACACATACATTAAAAAGAGCTAATTCATGTCAAGCACACAACAAATCATTAACTTCGTAGCATCTAACCATATTTCCTTGTGACAACAAAGGAATTCCTTAATAACTTTACATTCCACTTTGATCATCAGACATATAAAATACATGTAAGATGTCAAGTGTGTATATCCACAAAAAGAACATGCAAGTCACTTTTTTTTTTTTTACATTACACTGGAAAATATGGATTAAATCTTAAATTTTTTACAAGATTTCAAGACTATAAATGCATATGAGCATTTATTCTGGAAGATAAAGATCCACTTCTACAAGTGTGTATTACACCCAACTGGGTGAAGCATTCACCCAGGGGTAAATGACATCAGAATCAGGGTGAATGAATATTATCAATTTTACAACAAATTTAAGAGCAAAAACATCATTAATTATATATTCTAATTGTATTTTCATAACTACATTTATGTTTTGTTTATTTTATGTTGTATTCATTCTAGTTGTAGTTTGATGTATATTTAAGTCATAATAAAGAATTTTGCATTTTCATTTAG